AAATAATGGATTATTTTTTAATAGGCCAATATATATTGTTTATATAAATATATATAATAAGTAAACTCGTATATATCCAATGCAGTTATTGAGCAGCGGCTGTTGAAAGAGTCAGCTTTTCTCGACAAAACACAGATGAGTTAGTTTGTAGCCAGTGACTGACTGAATTGTCTTACTCAATACCCAAACAATGAGCCTAAGTGTGAAATTCTAGTTTCTGGTGCGTGTGCACTTAAATGCTACAAATTTGTTGTTATTATTGCATTATCACTTTGTTTGAAGTGTAGTTATTCGGTATAAGGTACTTACATACGTACGTACCTGCGAATGGTTATATGCCTATACTTATATACATACTCTTAAGTGTATATGTATGTAATTATTGCTGTTCTTGGTATTATGCACAATCCCCTGCATTGTGTTTATAAAGCTGAAATTCTATGTAAGTTATATACATCCCACTGTGTCTGTATACATATATTTATGTATATACAAACTGTATAAATTTACAGCAAATGTGAGTTAACTAATTTATAAAACATGTAATTAGGACTAAACAATAAGAAGTATAAGTATTTAAATTAATTTCAAATAAATCCTTAATTGAGTCATTATGTAATGAAATAATTTTAGATGATAATGTTTAGCTGAGATTTAAGTATACGAGTAAATATATATATGTGTTTCTAAATATTTATTCATTAACTTCCTCCTTAAATGCTTTTATGAATTTTTTATGAATTTCGTAACAAATATGTGTATATATATAAGTATATTTCATACAAGTAATGTTAAGCAAGAGTCTACATTATTAGCTAAATTCATTTATTAGCTATATATTTATTAAATTTGCTCAAGATTGTTGTTAAAAACTTATTATTCCGGCAATAGTAATTCACAGTAGTGTGTAGGCATTAAGATAATAAATCGCTTATTAGATTACATTCCTCTTCCTTTTTTTTGTTTAATAAAGATTTACTTATCTATAATATTATTCTTTCATTTGAATAAAATTTACTAAAATTCAGACTGATAATAATTATTAAATTTTAAAACTTTTATAATATTTCTAGCATTCGAAGTAAGAATTATAGCAGTGGTACAGTGCGTATGAGTGATCATATTTTTTATTTTCTTACTTTGCAAAAATGTACACGTATATCCCCAAGACCATGAGGTTAATCAAAGGGTTTGGAGCTGAAATGAAAAACAAATATTTCACTATGAAATTCCTGCTCTATTTTCTTGAAATAAACCTGTGCACTATTCATCGCCTTCGGTATTGTTATTCTTGAATATGCTGCGGTCGAAGCGAATTCAGGTAAGCTGATAGTTGGACTTCCACAGTGTCAGACAGAACAAAGATAGTGAAATATAATCAAATTTTATTTCACTTGAATTAAATATTTTATTAAAATTTAACTTATTTTCTTTGCATATACTTTGACTTTCGAGAAAGCCAATATTCATCCTTTTCACCATCCCGGTCACCTGTGTGGATTCGCCTTGGCTGCGGTCACACTCCGCACAAGTGACTTTTATCCTAATGGCGAAAAAACAGGTCTTGTAAAAAAATACCGAGTTCATCAGACATACCTTCCACGGCTTAAGAAACAAATGGCAGTACGATGCTTTGCTGAAAAAGCCCAAGAGCATGCCAAGAAATAATTAGGGTAATATATCTGCTTCGAGGACACTGGCGCAGTCGTATAATATCTGAAGGAAAGTAGTTAGGAGAAGACAAAATAAACAACAATTATGGAACCAATATATGAATTGTGAAATTAAATAGAATATTTAAATTAAGTTCACCGTACTGGATCACGTATATATATAGTAACATCTGTAGCCAAAGTGCAGCAGAAAACTCAGGTTTGTCCGTTCCTGGTCGTTTTTTGGAATTGGACATTCAACAAACGTCATTACACCGTATTTAGCATTAAGACTTGAGTCTGGAAGAAGATTTATTTTTGAAAAGCCCCTCCATTCCCAATGTGTAACTGCTTGGTGCCGGCATACCATCACGTATTGTTCTATACAACTTTTACTTTCAACAAGACGATGCTGCATACCACACAAGCAACGATACCATCGATCTTTTAAGGGAAGAATTTGCGGACCGCGTTATCTCCAGTAGAGATCATCGTAATTGGCAAGTTTACGCCAACAGCCCAACGTAGATTTGGTGATGATAAATTTCATAGAAGGGCGGCCATTATGCTGATATTGTTTTCCATCATTAATGGCATATCTTCTTTACATTGAAATAAATATCCGATTGTTTATTTCAAAAAATACCATTTTTCCTTGAATATCAAAGCAACACCTCACTCTGAGTGTATATACAAATAGATATATTTACTGAAGATAAAACAGCCTAAATCCGATTATTAAATTATCCAAAAAACTTGTTGAAATTTTAATAGAACTCCAGGAGAAAATTCTACTATTCCTTTGAAAAAACTAATTTTACATGTATGTATGTCTTATGTGTAATTATATAATATAGGGCCCCAAATTTTTATTTTTATTTTTATTAAACGAATGACACAGCAAATAATTGTGAGTGTTTTATGAAAGCAAATACAAACATTAACCCAAATAAAATCAATAAAAAATTATTAAAAAAAAATTATGTTTAGTAAAAGTTCAAACTATCATTGTCAGTTGTGTAAAAAGTAGACAAACACGCTTCATGTGCACCGCGCAATACAAACATACGAGAACGCTGATTATTTTTTAGCGATAGTCAGATAGCAGGTGGCACATAAAAAAACAATGAATGGGTGACAAGCCACTAAAAAGTGCTTGTTAATAATTACAAATATGTAATCGTATATACATATATATGTATGCTTTCCTAGCATAATAATTATTTATTTCAATTGAAGTAGTTTTAAGCTACTTTTTTAGCCATTTAAAACAATTTAAGCCTTAACTGCAACCGCAGATGAGCTTTTCATTAAATGTTTTGTGGGTTTTAAGCTCGCGATTAAGGCAAATTTAAGCTTAACGCCCACACCACATGAGAACATATAAACAAGCCTCTACAGTGAAATACATTAAAATGAAAAAAAAAAAACAAATTAAATAATATAAATTAAAATAAAGTAAAATAAAATAAAATAAATTTATTTTTCTGATACTTTTAGTCAAACTCTGTTCGCAGCATCTTCCAGTCGACTGTTGCGGCCACCAATATAAGCTAAAAAAAAACTAAATTTATTAAAATAACATAATATATTCATTCATTTAATGATTTATTTTATTTTGTTTTATTTTAAACTAAAATAAAAAAAAATAAAATGAATTGAGATTAAATAAAATTAATTAAAATAAAACAAAATGAATAAAAATAACTTAAATTAAATTAATTATAATAAACTTAAAAAAAATATATATAGGGCGTACTTAAATAAAGAATAACAAAACAAAACATAGCAAACTAAAACAAAATAAGAAAAAAATTGAAATGATTAATAAAAAATAAAAAACAAATAAAGTAAAATAAAAACGAATCAAACAAAGTGGAATGAAATATATATATATATAAAGTTAAGAAAAAATTCAAAAGAATTTAAACAAAAATATTAAGAAAAAAATATATAAAATAAACACAAAATAATTTAAGGAAAAGTAAAATAAAAACAAATAAAGCATAACAGAATAAAAAAAGGAAATATAATAAAATCAAATTAGTTAAAATAAAATTAAATAAAATATTGTTTGGTAAACTAAAATAAAATAAAACGAAATTAAAAAATAAATAATTTAAATTCCAAAATAATTTAAAAGAAATTTGAAAACAAATAAACCATAATAAAATAAATTAAAATGAAAAAAAAAATAAAATACTTGCAATTACAATAAAAAAAAAATTAATAAAGAAAACATAAAAGACAAAATAATTTAAAATAAAGTAAAATGAAAACAAATAAAACAAAATAGAAAAAAATAAAATGGAAAAAAATAATATAAATTAAAATAAAAATAAAATAAAAAATAAAATTAATATAAAAATAAATAAATAAAATAAGATACAATAAAGTAAAATAAAGATGCAATAAATAAAAATGAAATGAAAAAAAAATAAATTAAAATAGGACAAATAAAAGAAAATAAAATACTTAAAAAAATTAAATAAAATAGAATAAAATAAATTGAAATAAAATAAAGTTATATAAAATAAAATATATAAATTAAAATAAAATAAAATAAAATAAAATTAAATTATATTAAAGTAAATTAAATTAAATTAAATTAAATTAAATTAAATTAAATTAAATAAAATAAAATAAAATAAAATAAAATAAAATAAAATAAAATAAAATAAAATAAAACAAAATAAAATGAAATAAAATAAAATAAAATACAATAAAGTAAAATAAAATAAAAGGATATAAAATAAAATTAAAAAATATATTAAAAAAAAATAAAAAATTTAAAAAAAAAAATAAAATTAAATAAAATTAAAAAGAATAAAATAAAACTGAATAAAATTATATAAATAAAACAACATAAAAATAAAATAAAGTAAAATAAAATTAAATTAAATTAAATTAAATAAAATAATAAATGAAGAACAAAATAATTGAAATGACGTAAAAAAAGAAACTAAAATGAAATTAACAAATTAAATTAAATTAAGTTAAAAAAATTAAAAGAAATTCGAATAACAAAACACTTCTGATTTAGATCTTGCCACTTAATTTATGCAACTTAATTCATAAATTATTTTTCCCCCTTTCCACTTCTCCACGCCATCCAACAACTCTTTGAACGTCATCGATGTTGTTCGTTTTTCTGTCTGCGCTTGCGCGAAGGCCGCCTACAATGCGTCTTACCATGTATAAGCTCCACAAACTGTTCAAGTACCCGTACACCTGTTATGCTGATGCGCCGCTCCAAACACACAAAAATAAAATACAATAATAACAATTTAGAATCATCGTTTCGTCGTCATTTTGGCACAAGTTCTTCGCAGGTGTTACGAGACAATAACAGCGACTGAGTCAGTAGCGTTAGACAGCTGACAGCTAATAGCCGACAACAGAAGCGCCAAGTTGAGTTTTGTTTCAAGTGTTTGAATTGTTTTTTTCTTTTATTAATTACAAAAGAAATTACTTAGTAGCAATAATTAAACATTTTTTCGCTTTGTTAGTGTAAATTGAATACAAGTATTTTCAAAATGCATTTTGTGCGCTTAATCGGTTTTTTTGCTTTGATTTTGTCACTCGCTCTGCTACAACAAGTGACTGCCATCAATAGAAGAGGTGCGTGCGTGTGTGTGTGTGCGTGTGTGTAGAGTTTATATATGCAAACTAACGTTATTATTTACAAACGCTTGCTCAACAGCTTACTCATTCATTTTAGTACCTTTTCCCACTTTGTTTGTTTTGTTGTTTTGCACAGATATATGTACCTCGACTCATTCGCATACAAAATTGCTTTTCATTCAAGTTTTTCATTAATGATTTATTTATTTATTTTCCCGATTCTTTTAGTAAAACTATGCTTGCAACCACCGCAGAGCGGCCGCTGTTTTGGCTATGTATCGAGCTTTGCATACAATCCTATCGCGCGCAAATGTGAGGAGTTCATCTACGGTGGGTGTGGCGGTAATGACAACCGTTTCGATACGAAAATGGAATGTGAATTAACATGTCGCGATGTTTGATGTCGGAGTTTGGTGCTGTAAGTGGCTGTAGGTAATTGGATATCGTGAATGGTATTAGATTTTTTGTTGGAAGACGAAAGTGTAATAAGAGACTGTGAAATTTTGTTAAAAGTCTGAAATAAAATGCAACTCTAAAATAAAATTGTGTAAATTTTTTTGTAAAAAAATGCTCATAACAATGGATTTTTAAAAATTTGCCTTAAATTTTTTTAGTCGTAACTTAGTGAAACCTTCATCGAAACTGTTGAGCTAAGATACAGGATCTGTGTCTAATCCAAAGTTCGATCACTTTTCGCGAAATGCTGGTGTAAACAGTGTATTCCGTGGACCATAAGTAGTCTGAGATAACGAAACTCCAGCGTTTCACAACAAACACTAAAGAACAGTATATATAGATATAATTTCATGTCAAAAAAACACACGGAGGGCCTAATAATTCCTGCCAAGGGACGACCGCAATTAGCAAAATTGTAAACTAAATTTTCATTTGAATTAACTTTCTATATATTTTTAGATGTTGTTCGGCCCGGCACTCGAACTCTGGCCGCCTTCCGAGTGGCACCACCGCAGAAGATTGATCACATAAATATAAAATCTGAATAATACAGCAGAATGAACTCCCCAGCACGCAATAAGCCCACGCACGATACTAACTACTTCTTTGTAAGTCCCTAAAAGCGACTCATTTCACACCGCTTCCCTTTGGTCCAAGCACGCCGCGACAGCTCATTTACTGTACCTCCTGTGGGATGACCGCGATAATATAAGCTCTATTCATAGATTCGGCTTAATAAAGCTAGTAGATTCGAGATGTTTCTAACTCATATTCTCAACTAGCAGATAGTCTAGATTGAAGTGCTCCTATCGTTATATGTACTCACCTGTGTATTCATTACTATCTTTCTCTCTCTCTCTCTCTCTTTCTCTCTCTCTCTCTTTCTCTCTTTCTCTCTTTCTCTCTCTCTCTAACCTTCCGCCAGTAAGAATGATGGATCTCATAACACGACATCTGCGACCACTAGCCCAGTGCTCAGCAGAAAAGTCACAACAGCATATAGCAGTTGTTGCTGGCTAACTGTGTGCTTATAACGGTACTATGGCGCTCATTTAGAGATACCGTTTTGATCCTGAATATGAATTTGATAACTTAAAGACATAGAGGTATGGTCTCGCTTTTCTTCATATTTCTTTTTACCTCTTTAGATTTGAACCTGGAACTGTATTAGCAGCAGAGTTGAACTTATTTCCTTTTCAATTAGATTATCTAGTTTTTCGTGCCGACTCAGAAAACAAAGATTTCCTCCTATCAAATTCGAAAGCGGCTAACTCGTTGTTTCTTTAATGGCAAGTTACAAACGTGGCAAATGAAAGATCTGAACATTTAAGGCTCTAGACAGAAGACCGTCATGCCATAAACTCAACGACGCACTATATGCAGATAACTTGTCACTCTCTTTCTTCAAAAACTCGATCAGATCGGCCCCTCGCCACAGGGGATGATGAAACAGAGAGAAGTCTTAAGAACTTTTATTTCTTAGAAATCAATGGTCTTGTTTTTAAGAATTAAGTAGACAAAATGATTATTTTCTGTGAGCCGATAAAGCAGTCCAGTACTCTTAGCTTGGCAACACTTTAGCAACGGATGGCATTTTAGAACGATCGTCTCTAACATTAAGACGAGAAAGCGCAAGATAGCTGAGATTGGGTCAGACGAAATTCCACCACCAACGCAAACAGAAATTCGCCATGTGATTCTCTTCAGGTTTCGGCCTAATTTACAGCCAATACAAATATTCAGTGAATGGCAAATTCCACATGGATCGATTGTAACGTAATTAAATACTATTTTAAACTGGTTTTGAAGATTCCAGATCTGAAATTTTCCTGTAAAAGACGAACCCAGAGAAGGACGAGTAAAATCTTCCATTGATGACGTCATTGTTGCTATGGTGTAGTCCAAAATTGACGAAGATTGATTGATGATGAATTGGGCTTGAATGCCAGGACTGTAACCATCTGGGATACACCAAGAAATCTGCTCAATGGATACCATGAATTTTAAATGAGACACAAATAGAGACTCGAGTTCATTTCCTCCACTTTTCCTAAGCAACTTCGAAAATGGTCAGTCTAGCAACTTTGGTAAAGTCGTTACTGATGAACATTCTTGGTTCTATAAGTACGATCCGGAAACCAAACAGCAGCCCATGGTATGTAGCCCAACAGGAGCAAAACCACCCGTAAAATCTAAGCAACAAAAATCAGCAGCAAAAGTAGTGATGTCAGTTTGCTTCAGCCGATCTAAAATAGTAGCTGCTATTGCACTGGAAAAGGGTCAGACGATAACTGCAAAATGGTGCACCGAAGAGTGCTTGCCAAAAGTTTTCAAAAATTTGTTGGAAAACAGGAGGAAAAAGGATTTGCAGCGCTACTTTTTCCATCATGACAACGCGCCATCCCACGCTGCTGAAATAACGAGTCATTTTATTGCGATCTCTTGGAATGAAGAAACACGTCCATCACCATATTCCCTGGGTATATTTATTATTTCCAAGTATAAAAAAAAAATTAAAAAGGAAAGGTCTTTAATGGCAACGAGAAGATAATTAATGCGGTTAATGCTGAATTTGATAAGCTTAGAAAGCAAGATTTTGAAGACTGTTTTCAGAAGTGGATCTACAGAATCATTAAGAAATGCTTTGGAATCAATGGCGGTTATGTAGAGAAGCTTAAAAAGAGCAATGATTACGGATATATACAAAAACAATTTCTTTCCTAGGCAGTTTACCGAATTTTTGTTAATTTGTTTGTATTTTTTGATAAAAAATAACAATTTATTTTCACAATTACATATTATTTACATATTGAAGTACATTAAATATTAATATAAATAAACTAATAAAACATAAAAATAGATTTTTTTCTCTTACATTTCTATCTAATATATATGTACAAAAATATTTTTGTAGTTCGTTTCCGTTTTGGTTTCTACGTTATAACTATTTTATTTTATTTTAATTATTTTATTTTATTTCAATTTAATAATTACTCATTCTTCTCTGTTAATATTGTTCGTTTTGTTATTGTATTTACTACGTAAACGACGATGCCGTGAATTATTACAAATTTTCTCACAATCCTCAAGTGTTGCAAACAGTTTCTTTTCAGTGCTGCAACCCATATATTTGCAACGTTGCGTTTCCGAATCATAGACAATACCCAGGGTGGATGAAACGCATAGGCCATTGATGGACGGCTGCACCAAGCAGATGTCGCCTGGAAGAGGGAAAGAGAGAAATATGTAAATATGTTTCCAAGAGTATACCGGGAATTATAAATAATCTCATAATAGAAAATTTTGAATTATCTTGCAACGAAATTTTTGGAGAGTTTACAAGGAACTATTTTTAAGTTGTGTATAAATCATAACTGTCGGATAAGAAGTGTTCTTGATTTTAATTTTTTTCTAATTTTATTCTTTTCTATATCTCAAAATTATTTAAAATTTGCATATTTTTTAGCCATAGAGGGGAGAATTTTTAAAAATAGAAGCTATAATTAAAGATATTTGGATAAGGTCTAGAGGCATTTAAAAAGGCCGAGCAAGATTTTCCCATTACAGTGAAAAGTCCACAAGGGAGTGTAGCAAAAAAAAGGAAGATTTTTGTAGAAATATTATTTGACAGTTCGTTTTAGATGACTAGGGATCTCCACTAAACGTAAGAGCCGAGTGCTCTGTACTCACATTACATACAGCCACCGAATTTCAGAGGTACATATATAAATTTATTTTACAATTCTGAGAAATTTCGATGAAATCCCATCAAACTGCTGGGGAAATGCATACGGATATTATTGGAAAGACTGTCGACATTTTTACCCCTGTATATATGGTGTAGTGGTGTAGTAAAATATAATCCATTATTTTACCAATATAAATCGTTATTTATCTCTATCTCGCGTTGTATAAGTCCGTTCGGGTGCCGCTGGATGGCGTTAGAAAGATGATACTTCGTGCTAGAAGAGTTTTTTGACAGTTTTGTGATTGGTTGATTCAGTTTTGTTTGAGCTTGCGTCAAAGATGGACACTATCCAAAAAAAAAATTCGCAATAATTTACAGTTTTGAACGATAAGAGCGGAAACGCAAAACAGGTGACTGAAAATGTTAATAGCGTTTATGGTTCTGATAAAGTTACAGTCAGTCAGTCAATCGTGTACAATTACGGTTTCACTTCGGTGATTTTGAAGTAAAAGATGCTACATGGAATAGAAGGTCATATATATTGAAAATATCGTTAAATCATGGACATTTTCGAGTATGACCGTCATGTAAGCACTGTTTCGATTGCCCAAGAGCTAGAGATTGCACAAAAAACCATTTGAATACGGCTTTCAAATTGAAGAGTTCATCACTAGTGAACTAGGGTCAATATTAGCTCCTGACTATCTTAGCAAAAGTAGTTATGTCCTCCAATTAATCCAGTTTTTCTGTATAAGCAATAACACCGGCAAACGTATTGAAATTATCTGATAACATTATACCATCTATCGGTGAATAGTTCACAGAAGACAGAACTCAAAACTCAAACTTCAGCCAACCTTTAAGAAGTTTAGTGCTTATTATCTCCAGTAGTTCTGTTCACTTCGGTACACCCCAAAAAAAGTTATAATGTGCTACCTGTTGCCAGCTCGGGCATACAGTAATCGGTGTTGTGGAAAATAAAGTTGAGGATGTCAAGAATAGTGGACGACTCAGACTAGAGCCGACTAGGATATGAATAGACTCATTGAGTATAAACGCGGATCTTCCTACGATAAACCAGCCTGCACAATACTACATATCACGTTGAGTGAAAAGATTGCTGTGATTCGGAATACATAGCAAATGCGGGAGAGAGCCGCGCCTAGGACGACTTTCAGTTGTGTGACTAATGTAACTCTCCAGTGAGTTCCGAAAAACGAAAACCGTATCAGAAGGGTTATAAAACGTCATATATATCAATTAATCAAGGTAATCACACAATTTATGGTCTCCTTTCAGATATCACCGTGATAAGCACTCAGACCAACAATCCAATACACGGAAGGCGCAATTAAATTCTAGTTCCCATTAGTTTTTGTAAATAAACCGTAAGATGAATCACTTTTCTATAATAATAATTTAACTCACTACAACAAAATATTCAAGGCAATACACTCTTCACACAGCGTGAGAATACCCTCAAACCGATTAAGTGCCTCAACTTAGACTTGTGAAATTAAATCTTATTCATTATTGAAAGTAATAAATTATAGTATTTAAAATTATAGTATAAAAAGGTCTTTAGTTAAAAATTAAAATAAAAAAATTCAATTAAAATAAAATTAAATATGCATAATTATCTACTTACGTGGACGACCATTCGAGCCTACGGCCCAACACAGCAGACACACCAAACTCAACACAATCTGCGATTTCATGGCGTACAAATTTTTTTCTTCAATAAATGAAAGTGTTGCTTACACTTTTCGCTTTAATAAATAAAAACTAAAATACTGCCTTTTCTAGTTTTCCAGGTTGGTTAGGAACACAATTCCACACTATCGTAAGCTGATTCTCCACAGTTTAAGCAAACTCCAAGTGATTTTTTTCACGTTTTTTATTGTAACGGCACACAATGCACAATTTCAATTAAACTGGCTTTTTTTCTGTTTGTTTTTTTTTTAGGGTTTCTCGTCACTCGGCGTATTGAGCGCGCGTTGCTGGCAATTTGAGATATTTAATTTGTGCCAATATTAATTTATACGGCCAAGCGAAATGGATTTCCATTAATTTGAAGAAAAAAAGTTCACTTAATTTTTAACTAAACACCGTTAAAATGGTTTTTATTTTCGATTTCAATTTTTGCTCCTTTGGCTTTTTTCTTGACTGGCTGCCGAATCACTGCTCTGGCTTGTTGCTTGCGAGTTCTTTTATTATTTTGTGAAAGCCAAATGCTCAAGCGCAGTGATTTTATACCACCGCGTTTCACCAAGAATATCGATGAGCCAATAGACAGATTAGTCTGAATTTTCTGATTTTGTTGTTGTGCATAGATAGAGCGCCGCCGCAGCGGTTTGAATGGCGGAGAGTTGATATGAGCAAGCAGCAAGCGGGATGGACGGTGGTGCGTTGTGACGAGCAGCAGATGGCTCGATTTCGTGCAAATATCGCAATGAAGTGTTTTTTTTTACTTCTTTTCTATTTATTTTAATTTATTTTATTTATTTGATAATATTTCTTTATTTTTATTATGATTATTTTGGTTTTTTTATTTCATTTGATTTTAATTAATTAATTTTTTTTTTATGTTGGTCACACAACATTTGGCTGCTCTCTGTTCAGTTCAACGACGAGTCACAGCGCGTTGAGAAATTTCGAAAAAAAATTCGTTGGTCGATATGACTGTTGATTGTTTTAAATTCCACTAATTTTCCGCTCGTTTTGTTTTTACGGTTTTATCAACTGCTTGCACTTGGAAACTTCTGCAATAATTCTACAGAATCTCAAGTAAATGACCGACCACTGGAGATAGCGTTGAGCTTAATATGTAGTATGTAAGTATGTAAGTATGTACATATGTATGTATATCCTCCACATTCGTTGCCGTCTCAGGCCACAATGATTTTGTACATTTAGTCAAATAAATTTTTTATTTTTTATTTATTTACTTATTTTTATTTTATTTATTTTCAATAAACCACAGCAGTCCACTCTTGTGTGTATGGATGTGTAAGCGTTTGTGTTCTATTGGTATATCTCGCCACGAGAATTCGAAGAAATTCGAAGAAAATAAAATAAAGATTTTCGCTAATTTTCTAGCTCATTGACTGTCAACTTCAACTGCTACGTTTGTCTTACTTGCGCTGGCCGCGTGTTTCACGAGTTTTATTTCGAATCATGAATGTGACTAAAGATTTTACTAAGATTTTGCCACAAAAGTGAGGAAAATAAACACTAAATGTATAAGTAAAAATGCATGCCCTGATGGAAAAGGAAGGCGTAGACACCTCTTTGATGGTTTTCATGAGTCAGTTACGCTTGATTTACTCCCAAGCGGAACAGTAACAACGAGAATGGAAGTTGGAGGGCGCAGTCAACTTTTGTAATTAGTGGAGCGACTCAATGAGCAGGAGGTAGAATATTGTAGCGAAGTTAAGCCAAAGTTAAAATTATTCTGAAGGCAGCAAATTAAAGCGGTGCCAATTCACATACAAGATCATCGTCGACCTCTATAGGAAATTGTCAAACCAAAACTTATTGGGTTCTTGGCCATGGAGACATAAAGACAACTGTAAGGAAGATGAACCCCAACAAAGGCCCTGGCAGCTATACTCGATCTTAAGTCAATTAACTTGCAAGTGAGTTATATTTAGAATCGACTATAATCCTGTGAGTGGTGCCTACACCAATATAGAAGAAAAAAATAAGAAAAAGTAGGCGAAGGATAAGAAGTAGAAGCTTCATTTACTCCCCTCTCTATTAAACACTTAGTTCTGAAAAAGTATTTAATCTACGGCAGGTTAATTTGCTCCATTCTCAACTATCATTCCTTTTCAGCTGGTCTAGCCAAAGATTAATTAATTATTTTTTGCAATCTTGTCATCCACGTTAGTAATCTGAATATACTACAATTTGTCTACCAGTATAGTTCTAGACAATTGGATCTCGTGTCCTAGCTGTCAAAAGCATGGTTGCATACAGAAAGTTGTAACAGAAGTCTCCCTAAACGTACAATGCGACAGAGCCACCCACTTTTGCTGGGTGGATGCCGTCTACTCCTTTTTGAGAAATGATTTGTATTTGTAGACTGTATATCTAGACTGATTGTTCTCAATGTGGGTGAGGCAAAAAACTTAACTCTTTAATGACCCCAGATGAAAACTTAAGGTCCTGAAGCATTTCACTAAACCACTGTAGAACAGCGTGGATTGCAGATGAAATATGAAAAATGATCGGCGAATCGTTCGTTAACTCATAGTTCTGTTACGGCCGGGAACACAATAAATCTACCCATTGTACCCGCGTGAGGTCCTCAACCTCAAAGTTCTTTTCAATTAACCAACCATCAGAGCTTCTTTAAAGATGTTTCCGGCAGACCTTGAAATAACGAATAGCCGCTGAATGAAATTTTATAAAAGTTTGTGTTGCGACCAGAAATATCCAGAGAACCGAAAACTGATGGAACACTGACGGCGTGGATTTCATAAATGATGACGACTGTCATCAAAGACATCTCATCAAATCTATTAATGTCTGGAAATATACGCTCAAATAGAATATTTTTTAAGCACTGATCATTTAAAAAACACACCTAAAGGGATTGTCAAGATTATTTTGTGTCTAAGTCGGTACAACTGTCCTTTGTGCTGTCGTTTAGTTTATTTACAGTGTTCAAGATTGTCAGCTAACTTCAGTTCTTGCCACAAACACTCTTTAACGTCTTCTATTCTCTGAAAATGAGTGCCAAGAAATGATAGTTTGACTGTTGAGAGGAGACTTTTTTCCATAAACTTTTTCGCCTTTCGTTGGATTCGGTCTTTCAAGCTCAGTTAACATTCCCTATTTGCCATTTGATACTCTGGCAAGGACTATGAGTTCACAACACCACGATTATTGAGGCAAGTAGGCCTTGACCTTTGATTTTTTCGATTTCAGCTAATTTGGATGAGGCGGAAAAAAAATCCAAATACAAATCTCTCAATGAGATGGGAACAATATTTAATATGCTTTCTTAGAATCGTTATGATTTCCAAATAGGAAAAGTAGAAAAATTCAGTCAAACCTTTTTTGGAGGAGTAAAATTTATACCAAAAAATCATATGAAAGTTTGAAGCTTCGATGCAAACACTAGGAGCTTAACAAAAGTTCGGTCAGTTGATGGCTTTCAATTTGTTTTAGTTAAATCTAAAAATACCAAATCCTTAGCAATTACTTTATTCGTCTTTCTCTCAAATTTTAAAACGATCGGCTAAAATGGAGGTAAAAAAAGGAAGATTGCTGCAGATTGGTCAGACGAAATTCCATCACCAACGCAAACAGCATTTCGCAATGTGATTCTCTTCTGGTTTCAGCGTAATTTACAGCCAAATATTCAGTGAATAGCAAGCATATGGAACTATTGCAGCGTCCTTAAAAACTATTTCTATGTGGTTCCGAAGATTCCAGACTGTACATTTTTCCGTGGAGGACGAGCACCGAGAAGGTGGACCAAAATCTTCCACTGATAACGTCACTGTAGCTCTGGAGAAGTCCAAAATTAACGAAGACCCACGATTGGCACAAAAAATTATTGATAATGGATTGGGCTTGAATGCCATGACTGTAATCATTTGGGATACACCAAGAAATCTGCTGGATGGGTACTATGAATTTTAAATGAGACCCAAAAAGAGGCTCGAGTGCATTTTGCTCAATTTTTCCAAAACAACTTCGAAAATGGTCAGTCTAGCAACTTTAGTAAAGTCGTGACTGACGAAAATTCTTGGTTCTTTAAGTACGATCCAGAAACCAAATAGCAGTTAATGGTATGGAGCCCAACAGGAGCAAACCCACCCGTAAAATCTAAGCAACAAAAACCAGCAGCAAAAGTAATGATTTCACTTTACTTCGCCCGATCTAAAATCGTAGCTACTTTTCCACCGGAAAAGACTGCCCAATGGTACACCGAAGAGTGCTTAAAGAAGGTGTTCAAATTTTTTTTGGAAAACAAGAAGAAAGTGGATTTGCGGTGCTACTTTTTCCATCATGACAACGCGCCATCCCACGCTGCTGAAATAACGAGTAATTTTATTGTGATCTCTTGGAATGATGAAACACGTCCAGCAACATATTCCCCGGATAAAGCATGTTGTGATTTTTGGTTTTTTTTTTTAACTTTTTTAATACCCTCGTGGCGTTGTGAAAATGTTTATTTTTTGAAATTATTCGTAGATATGAGCTGAAAACTTATGAGGCGTGCATAGAATGCTTTTTTGTTCGATACTCACTCCCAAACCCTTTATTCGAAGATATCGCGATGTCACGTTGATTGCGATGATCACGGAGCTCCGTTATAAATATTGCCGACCAAAAACCGAGCGTAGCGTCAATAGCATACAGACTACACAGGCTTCCTATGCTAAAATGGAATAATGCGTAATCGTAGACAGCTTTAGATCCGTAGTCTTGGGATCAATTTCTTAGTGGTGGCTTAAAATGACAAGTACATATTACTGTCTTAGATGGGGTAATCAAAACCACAGGGCGACAAGTACAGTGAACCGGACACAAAAGAGTATCGGAATCAGAATTTCGGGAAATTTTGGCACTGGTATTGAAGAAACCCTAACCCAAAACATATCATATCAGCTCTTCAAAAAAATTATATATCATTCTATGGCACTTATTGAAGAAAATACCGCATCTGTCGCTTTCTAAACCATCTAAAATTTCCTCAATGACCATATAAAGTCGCCGGTGTATTTTTGTTTATTTAATTCTCTGTGTGACCTCGACGGACGTTTCATATGTAGCTGCCCTGTATCAGAACCTGCTCTCTTAACAAATAATTTTGGAATATCTCATTTGAAGATACTAAAACTAAGCTCAGACTCGAGGTCATTTTCTCAGATCGAGCGCACTTTAGACGAAGTCCAAAGTGTTCTCGCTAGTCGTCGAACTGTAGAAAACCATGAAATAAAGGCATACGTCTCGTCCATAGAATAGGAAACTGTTTATAATCTAACAATCGCGCTGCTAGCGAAGATAAGACGTCGGATGTTGAATCATTTAGGGTTAGGGTTTCTTCATCAACTTCATCGTTCAAGTTCACTCTCTGCAGGGTGGCTTCGGATTGTTGTTTTAATCTCTACACACAAACACAAGCAATCGTGAAAACGCCTCTTATTTTCCACAACCATACATAGTATTTAAGACTCCACATATGTGCTCTCGCCCAGCGCTGATAACGCAGGAACAAAGCAAGGCAGTAATTAAAGCCGAAAACAAAAACAAAAACAAAAAACGTAAACGCAAAGCAAAACACAAGCAAGCGGGCAAGTGATAACGGTATTTCAAGTAAAATATCAAATAATTAACTGTACATTTGTACACCTAAGAGTAGACGAAGAGTACGAGTACGTAAGCTCTGTTTGACTCGTTCGACGCTATGGAATTGTTGAACTGGTTCGTGCTGGCATTCACTGCTTACTACAAGTCTGGAAGAGAATTTGGCATGATTTTAAGTGCGCTCGAAAGGCGGCGACTAATGAATAGCTAAACGATTATTTTTTTCAAATTTTTCTGAATATTTTTTTTTTGTTTTGACTTATGTAAAATATTTGCAACATACAAAAAATTAGTTAGTTGATTATATTTACATACATAAATATATATATATATATATATACATTTTAGTTGAGCGGAGGACGTGCGTGTGATTGCCTCGAATTTATTTTTTCAACTTTTTAATATTATTTATTATGTGCCAGACGCAGATCAGCGACGCAGTTCGAGTTTGCTGACGTGCGTAATACAGTTATCAATGGGTGGAAGTGATGATGATCATGCAAACAAACATATATACATACATATATAAATACATCCAAACATATATACACATATTTTACTGATTATGACGATTAACGAAGATGTTGATGGCTAAGTTTAATACATATTTATTTACGTTACAGTTATGCACACATGAGTAATTAACTGTTAAAACCGTTATTTCTGTTTATAAACTAATTAGTTAATAATATTATTCTGCTCCTGATTATTTCGAAGAAATAATTGTTATAAATACGCTCACTCGTATATAAATAAATCCGTGTAAGAACTCGTTTTACGATAATTTTGTATGTATGTATGCACAACCATGTGTACTGTATGTAATATAAAGCTCATCAACCCACGCTGTGGCGATTTAT